CTTCATTTGCCGACCTCATTTAGTTGCCCCGAATTTTTTTTTTCAAGGAATTATGGTTAAAAATAAAATAGTATACAACCCTCGACGGGAAACTTCATTGCTGTCTCGAGGTTCAGTTTATCTCGACGCTACGCGTCTCGATAAACTATAAAACCTCTCGACCAGTAATGAAGCATTTCCCGTCTCGGATTGTAATATACTATTAAATATAATAATTAGGAAACGTTAACAAATAATAAATTTACGGGTACATCACCCCTTTTTAGGCCTCCCTGCAGTCAAAACACCCATTTCTATATCTGTCTCCTGACAGCCTCACAGCCCTGATAACAGACCCATATCAACTTCTATTGACTCCCTTCTTAAAAATGTGAATTTCAGTTTCAATTCAGAGTTGTGGGTACTCTTGACACCTCAACTTCGAGATTAGTAAACCGTCAAAGAGGAAAAACCCAATGGTACAGGTAAAATCCAAACTAAAAATCTAAAAACCCTGGTTACAATTTCGGGCTTCTAGTTGAACAAAACGTGCTCTCTGTGCTCACACGGCAAACCAACAAAATGGCGTAGACTTCGTTTCCAGAAAATTCTGTGTGGTTGGCTTACAAATACGGGGACGACCAAATCCAAAGCTTTCACCCCAAAACCAATTTAAGCCGGCAACCACTTAAAATTCCCAACGCCTCGAAAGTCCCACAGAAAGGTGGATGTTCCTATGAACTTAGCCAAGAGGACCGCTGGTAAAATCTCCCAAAGAAACTTGTTGCTTGCTCAACGTGCGAATTTAAAAGAGAACGATTCCTTTTCAGCGATTTATTAGGTGAGCTTCAATATGAAAAATTTTCTATAATTCCAGTTTTTTTTTTTCAAGATGCCCTCTGGTGCCAGATTTCCGGTCTTGACCAGGAAAACGGAACAATCAGTTTGGAACGGAACAGACAGCTCGAAACGGAACACTCCAAAGCACAATGATGACCACGAAACCCAAAGTTGTTATCTACTTTTCTCCCCCAATACCAATTAACACTAATTAATTACTTATAGAAGTTATTAATCAACATCTATCGAGTCTTCAGTCTAAAAACTATCAAAATGACCAGTGACTCTTTAGGGATCACAACTACAGTGACTCTATTACCCACGGCGGTCAAGGAACGTCGGCAACAGTGCTGCCTGAAATGAATCAACAAATGTCACTTAACCACACTTATTCTGTGGAAAATAAACATTTGGAAAATGTGAAAAATAGAGGAAATAGGGGTGGAAAAGCGATTTACAGAGTGTGAAAGTGTTTTGTGATGTAGAATTTTTAATAATGGAAAATACGAGATTCGTAAGTGTTGCCAATTGATATTTATTTGGAAGTGATTCCTATCCTAACAGTAGGGCTTTATTATCCTAAAACTACCCTGTCATCTGAATACAAAGAATTCACTCATTATTACCTCGAAAAATATACCCTTGTTCAACAACCAGATATTGTTTCGCATCCAAACAAAAAGGTAAAAATCTAGCAAAATCCAATTAGCAACCTATCAATCACTGAAAAATATTAAACCTCAGGTATACAGCTTTATAATTACCCTCACAAATACCTGAATTAATTACCGAATTCATTCGAAATCTTCAGTTACGTTAAGGCAAAATTTGAACGTAACATCTTCTTAAGGTTGATCGTCCCGGTCAACTTCACGCGCCCATGATATTTCGTCAATCAGTCCAGATGTACAACTTTCATCTTACTCCTGGTGTTGCGCTGAACTCGATAAACCAAGTCATTGATCCTCTTGACTATTCTGTAGGGTCCTTCCCATGCTGAAGACAATTTTGGCGACACTTCTTTCTTTCTTGTTGGATTATACAGCCACATTGGATCACCTTCTTGAAATCCGGCTGATTTGGCTTTCAAGAGCAAAATCATCTATCCCCAAAAGTCGTGCCCTTACTTCGTCGGCATAATCTCGGCTTTCTTTTTGTTGTTCTTCAGGTACTCCAAACAGATCGCAAGGTAACCTGAGTTCCCTTCCAAAAACAATTCTAGCTGAACTTTCACCTGTTGACTCGTGAACAGCTGCCCTGTAAGCTATTAAAAATAGAGGCAAATGTTTTTCCCAATCTCGCTGGTTCTTTGCGATCACTTTTGTTAGATGTTCGGTGTTCCTCTATGGTCTTATTAAATCGTTCTACCATGCCATCAGACTGTGGATGTAAAGGTGTGGTCCTTGTCTTACGAATGCCCATGATCTCACAAATTTTCTTAAAGATGTCAGATTCGAAGTTTCGTCCCTTATCTGAGTGGAACTCTAGTGTTACACCATGACGACTGAAAACTTCGTTCACTAGCACCTGGGCAATAGTGATGGCTTCTTGATTGGGACTAGCGAAAACTTCTGTCCATTAACTGAAGTAATCCATGATGACCAAAATGTATTTGTTACCACGCTGTGACTCAGGGAACGGTCCGGGAATATCTATCGCTTTTCTTTCAAATGGGAGATCGATCTTGTACTGTTTCATGGGCACCTGAGATCTTAGTTTAGGGCCTTTACTGGTAGCACATACAGGGTGTCCCACTAAGGTCGGCCAGGTACGATATTATGGAAACCATAGACCTTACGTAACTTGAAAACGAATGTCAAAATGTAGATATTTTTTTGCTCTCCGAGCACAGCAATAAAAAAATAATATCCTGCCATTTGGATTTTTCATGAAAATTAGAAAAAAACTGGATCCTGGATTAACAGCGCCCTCTAGAAGACGCGGTGGGAACTGTCGACCCCGAACGAATTGGTGTTCTTAATAACAATGAAATTCTTTTCCAAATAAGTGCAAATTTAATGAGTTTGGATGAGGGGTATGGAAGATACAGCAATTTCTAAAACTATTTTTTCACCAGCTACCCCCACTCTTATTAGTGAAGATACGAAAAAAAACCTAAAAACCAAACTGGCGTAAAAATTAATGAACTTTTGATTTCTGTTGTTAAAACAGTACCTTAATATAGCAATTTCTTGAGAAAATTTGAATTTTTAGCTATATCATCGTAATTGCGCCACCTAGCGGTCATCTTAGAAATTTGAAAATAATTTCCATCAATTTCTCTTGGCCGATTTAGTGAAGAAAAAAAAAATCCCGAAGCCGTAAGGTCTATATTTTCCATAATATCGTACCTGGCCGACCTTAGTGGGACACCCTGTATGTCGCATTTTCGGCACCAGTTTTCAACGTCTTCATGATAGTGAACCCAGTAAAAACATTCCCGAATTTTGTTCAAAGTCTTGTTAACTCGAAAATGTGCCCCTGAAGTTCCGTCATGTATTTCTTTTAATACATATTCTTATTTATGTATCAAGGGTACTAGGTAGATGATTATGCCCTGAGGGCGACAGTCTTACAAAGCCGAGGGCCTCTGGCCCAAGGGTTCGTAAGTCGCCCGAGGGTATATATATCTATTAGTACCCGTGGTGCATACAAACTTTTATGTCATACCAGTTGGTTGTGAATAATAAATACCTGGGAAAAAAGTGTCACTTCGCAAATTGTCATCAGAGTGCAAACATCATCATTTTTTGACAAAAATAATATGTTTATAAGCGAAAATTTATATTTTGTTTATAAAGAATAAGTTAATTGAAAACTGTTTTTTGCGTCTTTATGCCCGCGCGGGTCATAATGTGTACTTTATGCCCGCACGGGCATAATGAATTATGTAGATGGTATCTATAAGGTATAAAAACACAATAATGTATTGGTATGACATAAAAAAAATTAAAACCCTGGATAACTGATGAATTGGTTTCACAAATAAAGTTGAGAGATAAATTAAAGCAAAGATATTTAAACAGTAATAATAACATGAACCTAAAAAAAGAGTATACAAACTTAAGAAACAGAGTCACATCCTTGATAAGGAAAACAAAAAATTTATAATATAAACAAAAATTTACAGAATCCAAAAAAGATATTAAAAAAGTATGGCAATTGATAAACGAAGCCACAAATGTCGGAAGGTAAAATTTCAAAAATAGGCTCCTTGCATCAAACTTTTTGATTGCTGATTTCGATAATCCATGAAAAATAATTCATCACGTGTTTTTTCTTTTTCCTCTTAGTCAAAAATTGACGGAGATACAACGCTATGAAATATGCCTATGACGTCACTTATCTAATAAATTAGTGACGTTTCATATGCTCAGTATATCTATATATACAAAACTTAATATTTGAATAACTTCCGGAATAATCATATTTGGGCCGAATAAAAAAAATGTAACGATTTTTTTTCGATTTCCTACAGTTTGCAATAAACAATAATCAATTTAATTTTCCATGCAAGTACCCTATTATTCTAGAAATTCGTAATCCGCCCCCTGGGGGCGGATTACGAACTCTCGATTCGAACCGAAACCGCCAAGGATTTCGAACGCACTCTATGCAAATGCATCAGAATGCGTTCGAAATCCATGGCGGTTTCGGTTCGAATCGAGAGTTCGTAATCCGGCCCCAGTTCAGCACTGATAGCCGTCAAACGAACCGAATTTAATTCATATTTTTGCTCAGTTGGTACTAAGATGGCAGACAAAATTAAAAATATAACAGTAAATTTTCAAAAATACCCCCTCAGAGTAGTACCAAACTCAATATTCTTATATCCAACAACAGACAGATGAAATAATAAATAAAGTAAACTTCCTGGAAAATGGAGGTAGCCCTGGTTGGGATGGCATTCTGGAAAGCACTCTGAAACTAATTTTGAATTATATCATAAAATCTCTGAGACGGATTGTGGGCACAATGTTTCAAACTGGCAGGTTTCCGGAAGTTTTTAATAGAACGCTAGTTATTCCAATCCATAAACAAGGCAAGGCTACTGATTTGAATGATTATCGACCGATATCCCTAATAAGTAATGTGGCTTAAATAGCAGAAAAATGTATAAAAAATAGAAGAAATTATATTGAAGCACACAATATTTTGTCTAATTTGCAGTTTGGTTTCAGGGCTGGCAAATCAACTATTAATGCAGTGCTTACTCTGGTATCCAGTATCCATGGAGCACTTAATAAGTATCGGAAGCCTCTGGCGACTGAAGATGGCTCTACAATAGGCCGAAAGCGCTCGGTTGATATTCAATTTAAATAAATTTTACACCATTACAAACTTTGCCTTTTCTTCAACTTTTCTGGTGTACATCTAGACCCTCCTTCTCGATTTTCGATACAGTCTCACATCAAATACAGCTCTAGATTTCGGTACTGTTTATTTTGGCGGATACCATATTAATTAAAAAACTGTATTTTTATGGATTTCGGGGAGTGTGTGCAGATTTGTTCAGGGATTATTTAACGGGTCGTTTACACAATGCGTTTCTGTCAACTTAAATAAGGGGACTGAGAGGGCTGTTACCATGGGAATTCCTCGGGGCACAGTGATTGGTCCGATATTGTTCAAATTGTATCTAAATGATATGCCGGAGTTAAGATTTCCAGGTTCTGTGATATACTGTGCCGATGGTGCAGTTTTGGTTGTGATGATACTTGGGAGGATGCAAAAGTTAAAGGCGAGAAGGGGTTGAATATTATTTTGAGCTGGTTAAACTTCAATTGTTTGTCTTTGAATATGAGTAAGACTAAATTTATGGCATTTTCTTTAAATACGGCTGGTAAACCACAATTTCAAACGCTAACAGTTCACACCTGTAGAGAAGTTTAAAATTGCACTGGTACATGTAATGCACTTGTTTCCAAAGCTAATGATGTAAGATACCTACTTAGGCATACAGATGGACTCTTTCTTAAAATGGCAATGTCACATAGATTTGCTGGTTAAAAGGCTTCTGGCGGGTATTATAAAACTATTTTGACAAAATAACTAGAAGTTAAATTCTTGAATGATGTTACTCCTCATGTAATTCCAGAAGTTAACTGCCAAAGTAGTTCTATAATACCCGCCCTTAGAGGTACTTTGTATAAATTTTATCAGTTGAGAATGTAGGTGGATGACTAGTGGCAAAGCATTCTTATGAAAATTGTCAGTGACCAGTCAGCCACCAGTTGGTACCTTTGTTCCAATTGAGTTTGGAAATACTATACATATTTATTCATTATTAAGTAAAAAGTTGGAAAACCCTGGATGTTAATATTCAAATTTATATAATTAAAACAGAATAGACTCGACAACAATAAACTGTATACCTAACATTAATCACAAAAATGCGCCGACAAGTTCTATGTAGAGCTTAGGTGCAATACTGTAGGGAAAAATTGTACTATTAACTGTTGTAAGGTATATAATACAACATTTTTGAATTTGAATTTAAATTCAGGAGCACTTAAGCACCTAATTCCAATGCAACAACATGTCAGCCACTGTCATCAGATTCGTTGCAAATAATGAAAAAAAATCTGTGACTCAGTTAATAATTAACTGATTCAAGTTTTTCTTCGACTATCCAGGAGCAGTTAAATAGCACCTAATTCCTATTCAGAAACCTGCTTCTGACACACCACCAAGTAAACGTGAAGCCAGAAACTCCCCAATAATGAAAAAAAATCTGTAACTCAGTTAATAATTAACTGTTCTAAGTTTTTTTTTCGACTCTTTAGGAGCACTTAATACAAAATTTTAGCCACTGTCATCAGATTCATTGCAAATACACCCCCTAGAAGATGTAAAGCCAGCAGTCCCCTAATAATGAAAAAAAATCTGTAACTCAGTTATCAACTAACTGATTCAAGTTTTTCTTTGACAATTCCCCTCATGTATAAGAAATCCCATTGGAAAATTTGGAAAATATTATTTTTCTAGAGGATAAGAGGAAAGAAGAGAAAATACGTCCCAGCCGAGAGTGACCCATTTTAAATGCTTATAACTTTTAAACCAGGTGTGCTAGCTACCTGCGGTGTGCACCATTCGATTTCTCTTGGTCTAAAGTTTTTTCTAGTAGGTTGCAAAATTTTTTGGAACTTATAGAGGGCGAATAAAAAAAAAATCATTTTTCAACATATCGAAATTCTCTACTATTTTTAATGGAATACCCTGTGACCATAACGTCAAAAAAAAAGATTTATGTTCAAGGTATCCATGTACGAATAGACATAGTCCCTAAAACTAGAAGTTTTAGCCGTAAAAAATCAAAATCGAAATCTTGGTATTTTTGCAAAAGCATATTTACAAAACTTGTAATTTATGTTTGCCTGAAAAAAAGGTAATAGAAACTGCATAAAACTATACAAAATGCTATGTATATGTTAGCCTTTTTGTTCCAGGCATTTATGGATCAGTAAATGGTTGAATGAATTGTGTAACATTTCCTGGGGAATCGCTACAATGACATTACAAATGTTCCTTTTAAGATCTTCTTGCAGGCTATTTGTGCAAAGGATTAAAACATTTTTCCTTGAGAAAATAGTCTGGAACTCTCAAGTCAGGAGAGTAAGGTGTCCATCCTATAGGACCAGCTCTCCTTATCCGTCTTTCCTCAAATGTCATATGTAGTGATTTCCTTACTATTAAAAAATAATGAGGACGGGGCGTATCCAAGATACGCTTCTGTCCTAACTGTGGAATAAAGAACATATCAGTGTATACCGGGTGCCCACGAGATCACTTTCCGGCTGCCATTTTTTTATTTGTCCATCAATATCAACGAAACTTGGTATGGTTGATACTCTAACCAAACGCCATTTTTATGCATTTATGATAAGTTTTCCTAACTTCCGGTCTCACCGGAAATGGCCGGATCTTTTGATTTTAAAATGGCACACCCTGTATATTTTTTGTTTTTTCCGATTCTACAGATCGTTTTACGTCCTAATGCACCACTTTTGAATCGAGTTTTGTCTAAATTTTGTTTTTAAATTAAATTTCAATTTTTTAACTAGATCATCCTAAAATGTTTCTACATACTTCACTTAATTTCAGAAAAATACAAACTCAATTTTATCTTTGTAAATTTTTTTGATAGAGGGCTGTAAACTTCATCATTTTAGTATTTTTGCCCTAGCTCAAAAACTAGAATAGAAACATATCACTTTTATAACATTCCTAAATACCTACAGTATTTTAAAGCGAATACAATGATATAATACACTACATTTTTCTTAATTTTCGTTCAAATATTTTTGTTTTATTATATGGGTATTTTTTTTTCTACTTAAAATTCAATTTGAAAACGAAATTTGGACAAAACTCGATTTAAAAGTGGTACATTAAAACGTAAAACGATCTGTAGAATCCAAAAAACAAAAAATATACAGGGTGTGCCATTTGAATATCAAAAGTTTCGGTCATTTCCGGTGAAACCGGAAGTCAGGAAAACTTGTCGTGGATGCATAAAAATGGCGTTCCGTTAGAATATCAGGCCTACCAAGTTTCGTTGATATCGATAAACAAAAATGGCAGCCGGAAAGTAATCTCGTAGGCACCCGGTAGAGTTACTGTTATCGTTGGTTCATTTATGAAAATGGTGTGCATTTTTTATCAATAAAGATTGCACACCGAACTGTTACGATTGGGGTATCTCTATTTAACGAGTTCCAGAGAAAATTATCTGGAAATTATCTCGTAAAATTTTCTTGGAAAATGTATTTTAACCAAATTGATATCTTACAGTTACAAAATTGTTTGCCATAGTGATATCGAGTACCTACAACATGAAGTTGCATGCTGTGCAAAAATACCAAGATTTCGATTTTGATTTTTTACGGCTAAAACTTCAAGCACTAAATGTATCTTTTTTTTACGTTGTTGATTTACAGGGTGTTCCATTAAAAATAGTGGAGAACTTCGATGTTAAAAAACGGATTTTTTTTTTGTTCGCCCTGTAACAGTTTCAAAAAAATTTGCAACCTGCTAAAAAAAACTTTAGGCCAAGAGAAATCGAATGGCGCAAACCGCGGGTAGCTAGCACACCGGAGCTGCTTTCCAGTGCCTAAATTGTTAGAGTATCATGCTCCTGGAGTGTGACGCTCTTGAACTGTTCGACATAAGGAGCACTGGAACGCTCTCATCTTAACCCCCACCATTTCGGACTTCAGGAGCATGGAACACCGAAATAAAGGTTGGTGCACGAAGGGCAGAGGATAACAGAAATGAGTTGGTCAAGTGTACGACTCTCTAAGCACTGGAACGCGCAAAGCAATTGTGGAGCACTGCTGAGCTGCTCAGGAGTAACTCAAATGGGTCACTGGAAAGCACCTCTGGTTTAAAAGTTATAAGCATTTAAAATGGGTCACTCTCGGCTGGGAAACCCTGGATAAAAAAATCGGATAAATTTTCTGTTGATGCAATCGTTACCATAGTAACAATTGCATATTAAATTGGTTTTTCTACAAACGTGTTAAAAATGCAATTTTTAACACCGCCCCGAAGCATTAAAAATGTTACTTTATCGCACTAGTGCCATAAAGTCTTTATAGCACTAGTGTTAAAAGTGAAACATCAAATTTTGAGAGGGGACGTCAAAAAAAGTTTGTATTTTCAGTTATTTACATTGATAATAATGGTGAAATTTGAACAACTGAGGTAGCCCGATTGGCCGCCTCATCTATATTTTTCGAAGGATCGATGCAACTCTCTTTTTCTTCTGTATTTTGTTGCATTTTTAGCAAAAAGCATTCCTGACCACGACATACTTTCAAGAAACTGACAAGACATTTCGTTACCTGTAAAACAAGGTGCTGGTTGTATGGATTTTTTGACAAATGTCAAATTCAAGAATTTTATGTAGGAAAGATGCTTCCAATTTATTATTCATTTAAAAATCCAATTTGTTAGTGATTATTGCTTTTTATTGCCGTTTGTAGAAAAAATATTGTATGATATTTGTGTTAAAAGTATTTTTAAGGCACTTATGTGAATTGCAGAATTCGCTTCGCTCATTCTGCAAACTTTCACATGCGTGCCTTAAAAATGTACTTTTAACACTTATATCATAAATAACTATTTTGAATCATCTGTCAAATAATTGTGTCACAAAAATTCACAAATTCGATCATTTTAGCTTATTAAAAGTGTTTTGTTATTTGGGATAAATAAATATTTTATTTTGATTTTGCATTCATGGAATTGCCCTACTAAATATTATTCAAGCTCAGATTTTGAGCAGGATATTTTTTTGCTTGCTCTCTCATACTTACTTTCATGCAATTTATCTCGATCTGTTCCACAAAATTTTGTTGGAACAGCTCTCGTTAAATATCCTGAAAGCGAGTATTCGAGACCAAGCCAAAAAATATCCGGCTAAATCTGAGCTCTTATGGTATCACCTACGACTATTTAGGAGCACTTAAATGGCACCTAATTCAAACAACAACATTTTATCCACTGTCATCAGACTCGTTGAAAATACACCCTCTTGTAAACGTAAAGCCAGCAGTCCCCTAATAATGATAAAAAATCTGTAACTTGGTTAATAATTAACTAACACAAATTTTTCTTTGACTATTTAGGAGCACCCAAAAAGCACCTAGTTCTGATACCAAAGAAAAATTTAAAAATAAATTTTTACTATGGGGGACAGCGGTACAACTAGCTTTCATAAACCTAGCAGTCCCTTCTTTCTTTTTGATTTTCTCAAAAACTAAAGGAGCACCTAATTTTTAATTACAGGCTCTAATTAGCACCTAAAAAGCACCTAATTATTATATAGACCCCGAAGTTTTTTTCACCTGTTTCAGTCTGCTAGGTTTATAGATCCTATTAATTCAGGGTCGAAAATGAGATTGAAGGAAACAAAATTTGATGGAAAGAAATAACAAAACGGTTATAAAATTAAATTTTACAAGAAATCAAGTAATATTGGAATCCATTGATTTTGGATATATTCAAATAGGCCACATACTTAATAAAATAAAAAATATTTCGAAAACAACCACGTTGAATCAATTTAAAGAAAAAATAAGGGTGGGAATTATAAAACTATATTGACAGATAACTAAAAGTTAACTCCCGGAATAACCATGAGAAGTAACGTTATTCCAGAAGTTATCTTTCAGTTATTCTGTCAAAATAGTTTTATAATACCCGCCCTAAATGGTCTAAATTTGAATGAATGTTATGGTGGAAATATCTGTAAGCGGAATAACTCAAGTTTAGTTTTACCATGCAACATCGGAATTGAATGAAAAGCTTTTGAAAAAAAAAATGTATATCAACAAGTTTGGAAGTTTACCAAAACCAATCAAATTTCAGTTGAATTCCAAGCAGGATTGAAAAAGAAACAACACAAAAAGTAAAAAGTGTATGATTTTTCAAATTAGTAAACTTTTATTTTTTTATTTTTTTTTTGGAAATACCTAACAAAAATCATGCTTTATATGTGATCAAAATAGAAATACCTGATCTGATTTTGATGAGATTTTAATGTCTTATGATCTGCCATTATCTAAATCAGATATAGTTTATTATTCATGAAAAAATGTTGCTGAACTTTAAGTTCTGAAATGGAAAAATTTAATCGAAATATTATTTGTAGATTTTTATACTTGAATATTATTTTCCTTCACAAACCAAGATGAAATAAAACCATAAAATTCAATGTTGACTAAATCTGTTTATTTCGTCATTTGATATATTCACAGGCAAAAAAAATAGGCAAATAATATTTTTAAAAATTTATGTGCAAAATTTACAAAAAATAAAAACAGTCATTATCGCAACAAAAAATGGACGTCATCAAAATTTGTCTATCTAATAATAAATATAAAAATTAAAAAATATATATTTACAACAGAGTTATATAAAAATGTACAAAAAACAGTCTTTTAAATGCTCTTAAATAAAAAATGTACAGGATTTTCTGTATTTACAGTCCACAATATACAAATAATTTCTCCACAAAAAAAAATAGTTTAATATTTTATACTCTAGAAGGATGAATAAATTTCAAAAATTAATTTTCACTGCATTCAATTTATATTTTATAAGGAACTTTTCCTAAACAAATTAAGTACACTATGCAGTGAGAATAAAATAAATTTTTTATCACAAAATAGTTTACAAAAATATCCATCTCGAGTTGACTACATATCACAAAAAAGGCATTAAAACAATTGCACTAGACACTCTATCTACATTATAGTAGTATCACAATTTCTGACATTAGGAAAAAACAAAAAATCTACTACTGTCAAATATGAATTGCTACAGTTCTAGGCCCTTGCTGGCCAGGGGGATTTGGGGGTTGCCCCCTGCCGCTATGCCTATGCACGTGATGATGCACGTGAGGGGTTCTCACTGAATTGTGTCTATGATTATTTGGAACATCTGGAAGAGCATACCTTAATTTTTCCCAGAACAATTTGTCTCCCCATTGAAGGTAGTAGTTGGTTTTGAGGTACAGCCTAATATCTGGATCCAAGTCTTTTTGAGGAACTTCGCCAAGGAGTACTACAATGAGTCTACGTCTTCTGTCGCGTAAAACTTGATGATGGGCCGATTTAAATTCGAACCGACACCACTCAGACTTTATGAAATTATCTGAAAGCACCATTATTGTTCTTTTGGACGATTCCACGGCTTGCACTATACTGTCCGCAAGAAACGCACCGACGGGATAATCGCGATAGTGCAAACACAGTTTATAATGAGGTTCTAAGGCTGGAGCTAAAACCTCGGCCACCCAACCTTCGTCCTTAGAACTATAACTCACGAACGCGTCGAACAGTTTATCTCGATCGTCTCGATCTATATCGGAAGGTCTCTGGAATACTCTCAAGCCGAATTTTGAGTGTAGCCACACGCGAACTTCTTGTCTGAATATAAACAAGATCAGTGTTAACATTACTATTGCGGCGAACACTACCAGCGTTATCACTAAAAGTGGCAAGTAATCATTTATAATTTGCTTTTTTATGATGGTTTTTGTTGCCGTTAAGTTTCCGTTTACACTATTGTCTATATTTGCAGCCCCTGTACACTTTGTAACATTTTGAGTTATAAAGAATCCAAGATCGGTGCTATCAGAATAAATTTCGTCACTATAATAGTCTATATCCGTTGCATTGAATAGGCACCGCACTTTAGTAATATCTTGTACCGCGTCTCCGCGTATCATCCATTCACGTAGCTTTTCTGTGAAATCACAATCACAATTCCAAGGGTTAAAAGCCATTGTCACTTCAATGAGGGTATTGGGAAGAATCCATGCATCCATTATCGTCAATCTGTTATGGTCAAGACGAAGAACTTTTAAATGTCGAATGCCTTTAAATGTATTGTTTTCTATGACAGAAATTCGATTTTTTTGCAAAAATATTTCACGCAACTCTTCCAAACCTTCAAATTCGTAGCCTTTCAATTCCGTCAAACGGTTTCCATCCAAATGTAACGTTTCCAGCTCCTTGAGGCCATGAAAAGTTCTATTTTGAATGCTCTCTATGTTGGAATTATTCAAAAATAAAACTTTCAACCGTTTTCTGCCAATAAAGGCGTGACTGTTCAACGATCTTAAATCGTTACCATCAATATAAAGTTGAGTGGCATCCATGGGTATTTGTTCTGGCAGTGCAACAACATATCCACCAGACGTACAGTCAACAACATTGGCGCTCCATGATTGGTCGTGGTAGCAAGTGCAATTATTGGGGCAAGTCATTTCACAGTCACAGGCATCAAAATCACAGCAATGACATAATGCAAAACAGTGAGATATATAGGTGCACAAAAATTGATATGGAGCAGCTTCCACCAGAGGAACGTATGTTGTTCCTCTATTGTACAATAGTTGGCAAAATATACTTTCCAAATCTACCAATTTTGGTTGAGTTCTGGCTCGATTAACACTGTTAACTTTTTGTAACCATTCCATAGTGCAGTCACATTTGTAAGGGTTGCCTCCAATGTAGAACTCTGGAAGTTCTTTTTCTGGAGGAACTGCTGATATTCTCAGGGAGTTTGGATCCAAGCTAGTGATTTTGTTGCCGAATAAATCCACTCTCGTCAAATTTGGTTTTTTGAAAAATGTGTACGATTGCACTTTTGATATTAAATTGTCATTCAAAAATAATACTTCGACACTATTTGGTATGGCACTGCCAGTTATTTCAGTCAATTTATTGGAGCTAGCATCAAAAGTGCTCAGTGACAAGCTGGACTCAATTTCAAAGTAATTACCAAGTTCTTCAATTTGATTGGAATGAATATCTAGCCATTGCAACCCAGTGGGAATCAGTGCATAATCAAACCACTTTAGCCTGTTGTCGGAGATATTAAGCCACACCAGACTCGGCAATTTTGCAAATAATCCTTCAATGTCTGTTAAATAATTTCCGTCGAGCCGAATGGCTTGTAAATTAAGGTTGTTGTCGAAACTGCCAGCGGCTACTTTCTGAATCTTGTTGCGTGAAAGGTTTAGGATCTTCAGCGAGGCCATTTTATCGAATACCCCTTTGGTAATGTTGCCGATGTTGTTTTCAGTCAGCCTGAGTCCATACATGTGTTTTAGGTCACTGAAAGTGTCGTTGTTTATTGAATCTATGTGATTTTCGCCTAAATCTAAGGTTTTAAGCATTGGCACACTTTTGATAACTTCTGGAACTTGTTGCAATTTGTTGCCATTGAGGTGCAGATCTTGAAGGCTAGAGCAATTTTTTAAAGCATCTTGCTGTATCCAAGAAATTTTGTTATTATCCAAAGACAACAATGAAAGCACATAAAGTCCATTGAAAGTATCGGTTTCAATGCGGGTCAATTTATTATTGGAAATTATTAGAGTGTGCAAATTATATAAAGCACTGAAAGTATTTTCAGGAATAGTTTCGATAAAATTATCATTCAGTCTTAAAATTTGCAAACTGTACAAGTCCCGAAAAACGCTCTGTTCAAGGCGCGCAATCCGATTATAACTCACATCGAGCACTACGAGTCGCACTAATCCCGCAAATGTGGCAGTGTTAATCCATTCAGCTGTCAGCTCATTGTGAGATAAATCCAGCACCAATAATTGCGCGAGCTCACTAAATAATCCTGGAGCGAGAACGTTTATCGAGTTATTTTGCAGATACATTTCGCGCAAATCGCGAGTATCGCCAAATAGTTCGGGTGGCAAATTCACTAAACGATTGTCAGAGATTTTGAGAATGTGAAGAGCTGTTAAACCTTCCAAAGCACGATCGGCTACTGATGATAATCCATTACCATGAAGATACAATTTTTCCAGCCTCGACAAACTTGAAAATGGCCCAGATGGTAATGAATCGATGTTATTTTTCGATAAATCAAGTATTTTTAAATTGGCACCACATTTTTCTGAGAAGCTGCTGGAGAAATGAAAACTGCTAACTTCTCGCAATCGATTTCTGGTTAAATTTAACACCTCCAGAGCATATAATGGACATAAAACTCCTTCAGGTAGGCTCCACATATTGTTTTCTCCCAAATCCAATCTTTCCAGCAGTCTTAGTTCATCAGAAAATGCATTTGGTGATACATCCAGAGTCATAGCACTCCAGTCTGTGTTGTGCGTTTTAACTGTAAGATTTCGAAGATCTTTTAGGCCTCTGAAAGCACCATCTGATAAGTTGCCAATTTTACAGTACTCGATACTCAATTCTTTGAGTTCAATTAGGGGTTTAAAACTACCAGCGCTCAAAGAGCTTTGGAAGAATAGAGCATCAGAACATTCAAGCCTCAGTCTGACTGTATGTTGGGGTTGAATTACACTGAAATTAGTGTTTTCAAGTTCGCTGTTGATGGTTCTGAGTCGACAAACCAATGCAACATCATCTTCGTCTGATGAACTATCCACAACCACCCATTTGCATTCATCTGGTGCTTGATAGCGGAGGGTTTTACTGAGAGAAGCTGAAAGGACCCCGAAGATAGCTCCAAACAGTAGAAGCCAAATCGGAGTCGTTGCCATTTTGGAAAACGAAGATCAGAAGTTTTTCTCCTTATTGGTATCAAGTACCATCGTCGATTTTTTCTTCGCACTCATTCACTCACAAAGTTTTTTATGGTACCACTTTGCAAAGTTTGCACTTTCGCGATCGGATCGGCAAGTGGTACTTCGCGATCTATTACACGGTACTGCGGCGCGTAGTGGTACGTGCCACTTCGTCTTGGTTCTTGCCGATTACTGACCGACGAAGTGAAGGCCACGAACTCTTCAGTTCCACCGGGTACCCCCTCTTTTTTCAACGTTGTTCTTCGGTAGAGCCCTGCGATGGTCGTTGGTAAAGGTGGATTGATGGTGTTGCCGCTTGTATTGGTTTCTCTCGAAACTGCCGCAAAATAAATAATTGATTTATTAAATATTTTTTAAAGTCAATGTACTGGCAAAGTTTGTACTGGGATAGTTATTTTTTTCAAATAAATTGTTTTGCTTTACCTGCTTTAGGATTTAAAAGCGACAGCAATTGACTTCCTATTCGTCGTGTAAACCAAATGTTGTCCAGAGATTTTCTCAGATCTAGAGAACCTCAATTTTCATAAAGGCCTATATTTTTTTTTCATTCCTAGAAATTATAAAACAACAAAACTTATAATATGCAATCTAATATTTTCGTAGTTAATCCCAAATAATGCAATATTTACATGTGTACATTTAATGCAAACATTGTTGAATACTTGAGGAGTTTCTTCTGCTGCTCATGGTGCAGTGACAGAAAGTTAACTATTTCATAAAGGGTTCAGGTGATTTTTATATAGTTCTTTGGGTTAGATTCAGTAAGTTACCAATCAAAATATATGAACAACAAAAATTGTACTTTTTTACACGAAGGACTCCAAAACGTGTAGCTACCTGTTGAAAGTATAGAAGTACAAGATCAGCCCTCAGCTTTGTTGAAACCTAGAAGTAGGTTCTTTGGACTTGGGATCTGCAAGAAAAATATCTCACAACCTATAGCCATAATTGACTTGTTGGCTTTGTCCCTGGTATATCAAAAGCTGATTTTGGAGAATCTTGAGCTTTTTCTCAGAGCACTTATATTTATTTAACAAAGTATTTTTTACGTTATTATATTTGGTATGTACTTCTAGTTGAATATTGAAGTACATAGACAATTACTTTACCTGAATATGATCAGTCATAATCTGGCAACACGGCACAACAAAGTGGATTATTCAACTGAGGAGTACCGTGGTTAACGCAAAACAGAGTCGGTAGCATTCACAAAAAACATCTCGCCAAACACCGACTGGTCACTCGGTGGTTTTTCTCTTTGACTACAGGTTCCTAACTTACACGACTCGACTCTTTTTTGGGTTCGTTAAGTAGAATTATCGGTTTCGACAAACTGCCGAAGATGTCGGTTTGTTTTTTTTTTTTTTCGTATAAGTACGGTTCGAACCATTCGTGAGTGTCATTTTTCAGCAAATTAATAATTTTCCCATCAGAATTTTCATAGTTGATTAAATTAATATTGTGCAGTTTCATTGTGTTTTAATTTTAACACGCTGTCTTTAAGATATTACGGAGCTTTTTTCAGGGTTTATTACCAAATTTAAGAAAGACGAACCCCTCACATTTAATTAACATCTTCTTCTTCTCCTGAATGTAATCCTCTTCCAGATTTTTCAATTTTTATGCAATGTGACATCCAGCATCCACCACCTCTTTTGAGGTCTCACATCGAACTGGTAAAATAAATGAAATTTGATGCAGAAAAGTTGAAAAAGAATATATTGAAAAAAAAACATTGAGGACGTAGGTATGTATGCTTAGCACTTCGGTTCGTCCACCAACTAAAATTCCAGCGTGTGACAAATGCCCATTAAAAACCAATAATTTACAATTTAAATATCTTCAAACTACGATGTATTTTAGACACACGAACCAATCAGGTAACCAATAAATTAACCCAAAACTATTTTGGTAAAACGATACCTATTCCGATCAAGGCGTTAGATAAAACCAAATCTAACGGTGTCTGCGGAGATATTATGGTAACTTATTGTTAATTTATTACCTGTAAAGGGTTATCGGTTTCAGGGTTGACAATTTACCTCTCCGATACACATCAGCTCATAAAGATAAATGAGTGGATGTTTTTTTAAGACAAAATGATTCATTCATCAGGTTATGTTTTCGTTTTTAACAAAAACAGAATAAAGGATGGATTTTGTGATTTGATGATAATCTATGGTTGAAAATCCCATTCAAATTAGCAGGAAAAAAACGATTTTCATTAATTTAAAGGAAGAAAACTGATGAGTAGATATAAGACATCCGTAACTAGGGACTAGATCCGCCCACGCTACGCCCCTGCGACGACCGACGCCCGGCTTAGAGTAGAAACGCTCACTCGAGCTCAGATCTGGTTCGTTGGCAGGATCTCTCTCGCCCAATTAATAACGGTCTCGCTGGAATTCAGCGACACGAAAAAGCCATCCGAGCAGGATATTAAAACATCCCTGCCTCGCTTTAGATAGCCGTAATGAGCGATCATATTTCAACAAAGCCGTTTTTGGATACTTCTTGCGGAAAATACATTTTATGATTCGATTTTTGTTTTGTTTTGCTTCGGCCGTTAAATGTCGGCGCGAACATCAAATTGCTGCTAAATTGTTCAACTATATAACATTGCGATCGTCGGTTTTGTGCCCGAAAACCTTTTGTTAGTAAACGTGAATGCTGGAACATGTTGGGGACTTTGATGTTAGTTCAGCTAAATATCGTTTACAGAAGTGTACTTATCCCCCGTCAGTTTCTTCATTATTAGGTGCGAAAAAAGTACTGAACTTGTAGGATTTTCTCTATTTTTAAAAACACCAGCACTACCCACACCTTTTTTGTGAATTGTGCGCAGCTGCCACCTGAATAGGTATTTTTCTACTGACGTTTCATAATAGCAACTTTTCGACTGTCATTTTAGTTTTAAACGACATTCTTTTAAGCACTGAGTGCGTAAAAGTTACTTTTAAGCACTCGGTGCGTGAAAGTGACTTTTAAATGCGTGAAAGTGACTTTCAAGTGCGTAAAAATAATTTTTAAGCACTAGTGTCTGAAAGTATCATTCATTGTTCAGAAATAAAAAACACACTTAACACAGATTTGAATTTTGTTTTGTATTTCATATGAATAATAAAAATGTAATTATTGACGTTACGAAACGATGTCTTTTAGTCACTCGACGTGTTATTCAACTCGGCTTTGCCTCGTTGGACAATTTTCACGTCGCGTGCCTAAGCGACGCTCATTTCTTAACTTATTGTATAAATAGCTATTTTATCCCATTAATCCACTGTTTTTTGTTTCTCTGAGATCATAACATCCGTAAAAGTTTGCCCTTTAAGCTGCGCCATTGTAGGCTCATCCAACTTGAAGCCTTCGTCTACCTAGTATGTAAAATTTGAATTTTTCAACAAGAACCTGAGTTCACCAATTTTCATCCCATTTCATCCTTAGATGTTTGTGGAGTGTTTATCGAAGTTTTATCAGGATTTCACAGAGATGCTTCTTCAGATTTCTAATTTCATAGTTTTCTCTTTTTGGAAAGGAAGACAATTTACTATTGACTTTAACCAAGTCAACATCAAAACTTCCCCGTGATAGTATTCTGAATGTTGAATGTCGAGTGTCTTCTCTCTCATTTCAATAAAACCGTGTATATTTTTTACATGGAAGAGAATCCTTGAACATTATTTTTCTCTCTCAGTCGTGACCTACGGTAACCAGTTGTAGAGGGCAATGCAAATGACTTTCCTGCATCACCTACTTTGATATTAATGACCTAAACAACATATTCCATTATCCATGTAAACTCACAACTTATTTAAATATCTTAACCGCTGTAATGGATGACGTATAATAAGGGATAACGTACGGCTTCGCCTTCTTATATGACCGTGTAAATGGTTCGCGCAGGCGATAAATATGTACCAATGGTAATTATACTCTGGTTTATAAGAATAATAACATTATAAATATATGAGATATTGTGGTGCAGGTTTGCTTTATAATAGGGTATAATTCTCTTCGATAATTTGCATATCTCTGGTCATTTAGTTATGTGTTTCGTTTTATTTATTTCGCATAAGAATTATACGTTAGAGAAAACACATTTAAATCAAACACATCCTTAATAAATAAATAATGACGATTCTAAGAAAGCACTTCCCCATATTATGTCCTAACAATAAACTAGCAATAATAATTTAATATTTAATATCAATATCAAAATCCCATTCTCCATTTTATTCGATGGTGAATATTTATTACAGTACAAGCATAACCAGCAGTGATACTATGTAGGAGCAAGTTTTCAATTTTTAGCATCAGCAGCGCCCGCAAAATGATGCCTTCAGATATCAAGTAACATAATATTAATTTGTAATTAGATCTACTACCATAAAGAAAAGCAAATAACTAAATAAGACACGGCTAATTGCAGTGTCATACACCATAATTAAAATGGAATGTCTTTTGCTCCACCATCCATCAGTTATTAGAAGAATAATTATAGAGTATGCATGGGTATGTGAGTAATAACCTTCCTATTTAAAGCAAGGTACACAGGCTTCAGTTGATATATTTAGTGTTTTTTTTTTTCTTGAATGTTTGAATAGTGTTTTTGTACAAATGAATTATCAAGATATCTTTAAAAATTTGAACAGGTGTGCTACGACTTCAGAATACAACAATTTCATGATAGTTTTAGACGAGTTCAATTAATTTTATCATTCCAGTGACTATTTGGGAATAGAGTGATGGAATCGGGCTGTTATTAAATGAGAAATAATGTTAACGCTATAAATTTTGTGAAGATTTTTGGAAATGTTTTAAATGAGGCTGTACTTTTTCGAGTCTTGTTTGAAATCTATTATCATCATAATCATACGGGATCACTCGATACCGAGTATGATTATCTCCTATTCTATTCTTATTGTCGTCGATTGTGCGTTTTCTGATGGCTATAT